CTTTATTTTTTTTTTTCATTTTTCTTTTATTATTCATATGTGCATACAAGGCATCCTCTTGTCCCCTCCCAGTGTCACGGTGGGGGTCACACTGTCACAATGCTTCAGGGTTGGAAGGACTGATGCTTGGATGCATGGCAATATCCACAGTTTGCAAGGTTGGGGAAGGAGGCCCGGGTCTGAGGACTGGATGGTCACTGTCCATGCTGGGCTGCAGTGGAGTGTTTGTGACTTGACAGCACTGTGAGCTGGCCGTGCACTGGTGAGCCAGTCAGGACCTCTCAGAATCTCTGCTTTGTCATCTGAAGAAGGTAGATAAGATCTATTGCCGAGTTGTTTATTGGGAACCAAATTAGCTCATGTCTGTGGAAGTGCTTGGTAAAGTATGAGGAGGAGGAGAAGGAGGGTATCAGCCATCTATTGCCAACAGCATGTGGCGTGAAACAGCAGCCTTTTATTTGGCTCGGATTCTGCAGGCTGGAGATGGAGACCAGGCTCAAGCAGCTGGTTCTTCTGGGCTCACTAGGCTTCCTGTGCCTTCTGTGGGCTGCTGCATGTCATCTGGTGGCCTGCTGTGTTTCTAGGGGTTGCTTGGCCATCAGCAAGGATGACAAGGGCACCTCCTCCTCCAGCTGGACAGCTGTGTCTATTCGTGTGGCTCTAAGAGGGAGAGTGCAGGGACCCAGGCTTGGAGCAGGCACAGGGCCCCTTCTACAATATTCTCTTAGCCAAAGCAAGTCACAGACCAGGCTAGGGTCAAGATACAGGGAAATACACCACAGATTGAAGGAATAAGCTGCAAAGTATTGCAAAGTGTGGAACACAGGGGTAAATTTCTGCTACTTTGTTGTAATCCTTCTCCCTGAGAGAGCTGACTGTAAGCCACATCTTGACTTTGCCTCTTCCTGCCCCGCCTTCCCCCCCCCCCCCCCCCCCCCGGTGACTGTTAGATGCTCCTCTTGGCAATGGCCCTATGGAGAAGAGGCCAGAGCTTCTGTGGTCTGGGCTCTTTGTCTTCAGTGTCTCTGGGGAGCAGGTAGGAATTGGGCTAGTAGGGACCCCACAGCATAGAAAATGGGACTGCTTCTGGGCTGAGCACCCCAGGTATCCTCAGTCCCAAGGTGGTGCAGTGTCACTGCTAATTCAGCCACAGCCATTCACAGTCAGTGGGCGCTGGAAGGACACAGTGTAACTTACTCGGGGCATGGGTGGTGCCCCCATTTACTGTGGTAACATGGAGGGACCAGTATTGACATGATCCTTCTCCACTGTACCTCAGGGTCTGGGTTAATCCCCCCAACAGTATTTAGAGGTGTATCTGGCTGCAAGTAACAGACTTTCGATTATGGGGTCATAAGTCAGAGTGCATTTGCTACATCGCATCTCTGAAGAGAATTGCAAATGTTAATTTCATGCTCAGTAATGTCAGAGTTAGTGTTTCTTGGACTTTTTCTTGTGTTTGTAGCTCTAACCTTGAATGTCAGCATAAAGGCAGGAAGGTGACAAAAAGACAAATAGCTCTGCCAGCCAATTCTGCCTCTTTATCAGGAAAGAGAAGTTTTCCTTGAATTAAGCTCCAGAGTCCTGTTTTGTTAGCCAGAATGGGGCCACACAGGCACACTAGCCACAGGAAGATCAGAAAACATGAAGGACAGGATTGTCATGATTGGCTTATTACTTGGGGGCCAGACAGATCACTACCCCCAGACAAAAACAGGGTTCTGTTAGTGAGGAATACACAGAGAATGGATTTTGCGTGGGTCTCTGACAGCCTTAGCCGTGCTGTTCTTCCCCACCCTGATGTGGACCACTGAGCAAGCCACTCCATCCCCCATACACCACCACAGCCCCAGAGTTTCAGTGTGTGGGGGGGGAGGGGCTGTCATTTGGACCCATAACTTTATAAGACTCTGAGGTTGAGAGAGAAAAATGGGCTTGAAGAAATGGAAATCACCCTAGTACCACTTAGCCACCCAGGACGGTGGCCACTATCCAAACAAAACTTGGTCCGCCCTAGCCAGAAAGTTTCTAGCTGTTAGTCAGAACCTCTACAGTGACCCAGCCCAGCCCTATGGGGGCCATAGCCCTCCCATCACATGCCAGCCCTTGACATTCTTGCCCACTTGAAGCAAGGCTCAGCCTATCTGGCTCCCTGGTGAGGATGTGGGAAGTTGGGCAGCACCCACCTCCCCATCCTGGTCATCACCAGTTCTCTCTCTGAGCCCTGGGAAACACCCGCACATAATCAGGAGCAGGGATGGGACTCCTGAGGCTAGCACCAGGGAGTAGATATGTGGTTCTCTGGGCTGCATCAGATAAACAAAAGCAAGTACGAATGTGAAAAAAGATTTGTGGGAGAAAAAAAAAATTTAAGTTGAAAAGAATCTGTCCCTTCTTCTGTTTTTCCACTGCTTCCTCAAGTTGGGGAAAATCTCTGTTGTCTGAGTTTTCATGAGATACTTTCATGAAGAGCTGAGGTGGCTCAAAAACACAGTCAGAAACTAACACCGGGCTGTGTTTGTTCGCTCGCTCACTCACTCACTCATTCATCCACTCAACCACTCACTGACTCACTCAGCCAGTGTTCCCTGAATGCCCCTGTGCCAGGTGCTGTAGAGAGATGAAGACATTTTGGTCCTTGACCTGAAGAAACGCAGTTGAGTAAGGGAGGCCACGAGAACATCCATGTTAGGGGCCATTGTGCAGATGGTGCCTTGGAAAAAGCCTGGGGAAGGCTTCCTGGAAGAGGTGGCCCTAGGCAGTGTCTAGGTTGTGGTGGCACAGCAAAGGGGAGAAACATGTTCTGGCCTTGGGTCAGCCTGAACAGAGGTAGAGAGCAAGCAATTAGGGGATGGCGGAGTTCAAGCCCCAGTAATTGGGAAGCTGCAGGCAATCAGTCCTGGGCAACAATTCAGCATCAACCAGGCTGTCTAACTATATACCCTCCTGGGCCCATTCTATCTGGGCTGGTCCCACTGCATTCCCAAAGTCTCCCATTCCCTGTGGCCTAGCTGAGGATGGAGAAGGGCAGAGCTGGCAAGCCGACACCCTGAAGCCCATACCTGCCATGATTTGCATTTGCATCCAAAGAGCACCAGATCCTTGAAGATTCGCTTCCACTGACCGGACCCCACATCTGGGCAATGAACCCCAGGGTCATTATTGTCCCCAAGGTCTGAGCTTAGCAGGAGGCTTCCAGAGCAAGGCCCTTCTCTGCCCTTGAGTAGACCTCACAGGATGGGCACACGAGGAAGAAGACATCCCAACTGCTCCTAGAGCTTTCAGAACCCAGAGCAGCAGCAGATCAGCCAGCTAAGGTTCCAGGAAAGGGGTAGGAGGGTGGTGTGGCTCTGCACAGATTTGTCCAGAGAATCCAGCAGGTCAGCATGTATCCTCTAGTGCCACTGGTTTTAAACCAGCCAGTGCTGGTTTGGAACAAACCTCCCTGAGGACAAGGGTGGTAACAGCCATTGGTTCATTCATTCAGCAATAATGAGACCCATGCTAGTGGCTAGGAAGCCAGAGATGAGTTGGCCCAGATCTGTCCTCCTGGAGCCTGTGGTCTGATGGGAAGGCCATGGGACAGAGTTTACACTCTAAAAGCCAGAAAGGCTTTCTAGAGCAGGTGTCATTGGTATCCCTGTCTTAAACGATGAGGCTTATTAAGCATAGGGCCTGGGAGTTGGTTGGCAGGACCTTCCAAAAAGTCCAAAGAAATCCTATATGGAAACCCCCCACCCCCACCCTCTTCTTTTCTCCCTGGCCCTCTCTGCCACATTTTCTGAGATCCAGGCATTCCTGAACACAGCTTAGCCTGCCTCCACCCAGTCTTCAGCTTGTGTCACCCAGGCCAGAAACAGCTGGGCTACAAAGGACATCCGGGATGGCCCCAAGCCTACCACACAATGACGTGCCACAAGACTATGGGAAGTCATTGCACAGTTCCAGCCTTCTGCTAGCTCTAAGCCACAATCCGGGAAGCTGGGACTAGGGAGAGGCCTAAGTGGCCATCAGGGAGGAAGGGCTGGGCCTGCAAGAGGAAGGGCTGGGTCCGGGGAGGAAGGACGAAAGACAAGTGGGAGGTCGAGAGCTGAGCCTCAGCCCCAGAGGCACCTTGGTGGGGAGGGACAGAGGGAGAGCCTGTCACAGCCTCCCTGCCACATGAATTGCAGCCAGTAGGAGAGTGCCCCCAGATAACAAACTCTGGCTTTGAAGACTGCAAAAAGAGGAGAAAATTTTTACCACTCACTTCTGATTCACAGAGCCTCAGCTGTGGCCCCAGGGTGGCCTGTGAGCTGGGGACACTGCCCTGGGAAGCTCCCACATGTCTTTAGGGTGGAGGACTCTCTGTTGATCATCCTGGTATCTGCTACTGCTTCCCCAGGCTGGGCTCAGGACCCCAGCCTGGCCCTGAGTCTGTACCCACACCAAACAGGCCTTCCCCTTGCTTCCCGAGGGACCATTTGCAGCTCAGATGTTACACATACAGCTGGCTGAGAGCCTCCAAGAGACCCTGGGGCTCAGTGGTCAGTGGAGGGTGTCTCTCTTTCCCGACCCCTGAAGCAACCCATGGGCCACTGCGCCTACCAGGAGTCCTGTGGCTTCATGGTTGCCAGGCAGGAAGGGGGTGACACTCACTGGTGTAGAATGAGCTTACACATTAGCAGCTGGGTCTCTGGACCCATGAGGTCAGGGCAGGCAGGTGTGGAGTGAAGTGGAACCATGGACTTGTGGCCACAGGTTCATCTCTCAGGGCACTAGTGTGTACTGTAGGCAAGTCCAAGGTGAGAGCCACACCAGACCTTGGTCTATAAATGCCATTCAGTTCAGTGAAGGGAGGAGACCAGACCTGGAAGCAGGGGACCCAAGCATTAGTCTCACATTTACTTGTTTTACCAAAACACAAGCTTTTCCAAACCTTTAGTTTCCCTATGCATTGAATGGGGACAGTAGAGCCTCTCAGGATGAAGTGGGTCAAACAAGTAATGACACATGTGGAAGAATTTTGGAAGTCATAGAGTATTTTAACAACAGGTAAGAAGGTACACATACTACCACGTTCTCTTCCTCTGCCCAAGGCAGGCATTGCTAGCCAATCTCAGTACTTTCTCACTAAGCTATATTAATACATCAGAATCCCACTCCCCATCTATTCCAGAAAGCCATACCAATAGATCAGAACTGTAAAACAAGGTGAAATGTCTGCACAAAGACAGGGCTTTACTGCCATTGAAGAGACCTCACACAGCCATGGGTCTGGTTGCAGGCCCATCGCCTAGTGGCTCTGTGTATCTGCAACCAGGCCCAAGGCCAGACTGTTACTGGGCCCCACCCTCCTGGAACTCACAGAGTAGTTAGGGAGACACAGCACTCATGGGGTTCCAGAAGAGAAGTGACAATGCAAAGCAGGGGCTGCTCAGCAGATGGGCCAGACTGCCAGCACTCTCTATGGGTTGGGACAGGCACTCAGCTGGGCTGGGTCTTTCAAGAGAGCTTTGCAGCCACCATCCTGGTTGACAACCCTGGTTCCTCTTTCACTTATTGCAGTTCCTTGAGCAAATCTTAGCCCAGCCCCCAGCACAGCCAAGCCTTCCCTGGAGTGACACCTGGAAGCCCTCTTCCCAGAGGCAGGGCTCTAGTGCCCAGGTTGATGGGGGTGACAAGCCCTCTGCAGCCCCCAGATAGGCAGCCTTCTATGGAGTCTTCCCTCCCCAGAGTACCCCCTGAAGAAGGCCATGGATTTGCCCTCTGCCAGGGCCCAGATGTCAAGATACAGGGGAAGCCCTGGCCAGGCAGGAGAGGAGGCAGCCTCAGGACTGGTCTCTAGAAAAGCAAATCCCAGCAGTCCTTCATGCCCACCCCAGAGTTGGTGGCTACCCCAGAGTTGGTGGCTACAGATTCCTCTAGTACAGACCTGCCTGACCAACAGCAACCACCAGTAATCCTCTGGTATGTTGAGCAGCCCCTGCTATGTCCCAGACCCTCTAGCCCACAGCCACCAGGACTGGTATCTCAGAGGTACCCCACTGTATTCCTGCTCCTCCCTGGTTACAGCAGGGAGGCATCCGTAGGCCACTGCAGGCAGGGTCCATGGATAAAGATGGAGCCTGGAACTCACAATAAATTTTACTGAAAACAGGAAACCACGAAGCTGAGCCATGTTCACTTGCAGGGTCCAGAGAAGAGGAGAACCGAGCCATGCAGGAGGAAGCTGGGCAGGAAGTGGGTAGCTGTTCTGCTGGGGCCTCCTCCCCTCACACAGAAGCAGCCAGGCCAGGGGTCTGACAGCCAAATTCTTAGAAGTTGTCTCTACATCAAAGTCCAAAGCTGAGGGCTAAGCCCAGGCCAGCATCCCCAGGGTATAAGCCACACTTCCGGAGTCTGGTCTGTGGGTTTGTCCTTCGACCCTAGGGGCAGCATAGCCCTGCCACAGAACAGCTGCTGTCTCCCCAGTCCTACTCAGGGGAGCTTGATTTGCTGTGAGAACAGCAGGTTCTGTGGCAGCTGCACTGAGGATCCATGGCAGCAGATGGAGTAGAAGAGGGGACCTAAGGGACAAAGCAGGAGCCAGGGTTGGGTGTCCTGGCCACTGCAGATACTACTCCTGTGGAAAGTTCTGTGCTTTCTCCTCAGCCCCATGCACAGCAGGAGGCCTACAGCACCCATGTCCTTGGGGCTGGCCACCCACAGTTCCCTGCTGCTGTGCAGCCTAGAGCTGCTTCCCTTGCCCTCCACCCCCATCCCCAGGCACTCATGGCTTTCACCTTGCCTGTGGACCCTGGGTCTGATCCACAGTCCTGGCTTGCAGCATCCAGGCCCAGCTCAGCAGCGCCAGCGGAGGCTGCTGGAAGATGATGCCCAGGTTAGAACTCTGTTCCTCCAGTGCCAGGCCCTTGTCCTGCTGGGGGCTGGAAGCCACTTGCACAGTCTTACCCCTCCTCGCTCTCAGGCACCACCTGCCCTGTTTCTACCCCCCTAGCAACTGGCCCCTCCTCTCCCGTGCTTTAAAGTCCTTCATCAGCAGTCACACAACAGGTACCCCTTACACATGTATGAAAATGAAGCCAGGTCATGGTCCGCCACGGGTGGCATCTGAGAGTCCAGGAGCAGAGCAAAAACAAATCCTGTCCACCCCAACCCCCACCTGCCAGGTCACTCTAAGGTAAGGATGTGACTAGGCCCACATTGTATGGACGAGAAGACCAAAGGCCATGGGAGGAGGCTTTCCTATGGCCCCAGGTACATCTTAAGCAGAGATTTAAACCTGGGGCTTCCAGGCCCAGCACAGGGTTTGTACCTATTACCCCGTATAGTTTTTAATAGTATCCCTTTTTGTACTCAGAAGTGTCCCAGTGTGGACAAGACACTATGTGATCACCCCCACAGGGCAGTGGGGGTAGTGGACTGAAGGACAGGAAGGAGACCCCTCTACTCCCCTCCCAGAAGGCCCCACCCACCTTCCCTCTCCCTCTATGGCCAGGTGGCACAACCTCTGGCCTGGCCTCAAATTGCCTAAGACACCAATTGGCTCACAGTGGCCACTCGGCCCTAACAAGCACTTCCTGTTTTGGGGCCTCTGGCCACTGAACTCTGGGGACCAGAATGAGGCAATAGCAGCCCCATATTTGCTTAACCTGCTGGCAGATTCTCAGATTGCTGGTAGAAGGCAACTGCAAAAGCCCCCATGGCTCCAGAGTCCCATGGGTACAGAGTAAAGTCAACAGAGGAGCAGCCTCAGACAAAACAGGGGAACCAGGCTAACCACAGTGGGCAGGAGTCTCCACATTTTGTCCTGTGTTTCAGGCCTGGGAGGTGGCACTGGGAAACTAGCTCATCCTATCTGTGCTGCCAGGTCCCAAGACTCTGTCCTAGAGAGAGAGGCTACCGTAGAGCTGGAAATTCTGGGATTTCTTAGGATGTAGGTCACTTGGCATCTGTAGCTGGTGAATTTTAGGCCTCTAGGGAGAATCCAGCATCCCAACATTGAGACAGGGATAAGCAATCCAGCATCTTCTTGCTTCCCCCCACGTAGCATCCACAGGGGTGGACGGTCTAGGCATCAGGGGTAAGACAAGTCTAGGCTCCAAGCAGGAGGGAGGGAGCCAGAGCCAAGGCGAAGGCCAAGGAGATCACTTCAAGGGCCAGCCTGACTCATATGCACCTGTCCCAGATCCAGTCACCACTGCCCACTGTTCCCCAGCTGATCTAGACGGTCTCAGAATTTGGGGAGTCAGGGACTGGTTCTGAAAAGGAAAGGAGAGGCAAAATGAATTGGGGCAGGCGGGGGGCATTCCTGTGTCGTTCACCTCCCACTCCAGAACGTTCAGACTATGAGGACTACCAAGGGAAAGCCCCTTGCATGACCCCAGAAGGTTATGACCTTTGCAATCAAGGTGCTGTGAAGGTCAGGAATTACTCACCCAGGGATGGAAAGAACACATCTCCAGGACCTGGAGGAGAGAGAGGGGTGCTGGGCTCAGAGAGCAGGTGGCGCCCAGACTCTGAAGGCTGCCGCTGGGCCACGTAGGACAGGGGGTGCCGGGCCTTGACCTCGGGCATCCCCTGGAAGGGAGCACAGGCTTCAAAGCCGGGGTTTTCAATTCCTTGAGTATTGCTGCTGGGGAAGCAGAACTGGTCAGCTGTGCTGCCTGAAACATGGCCTCTGCCCTCCCTGCCTCCCCCTCTTTTCTCTCCTTTTCCCTCCTCCAAGCCTCAGCAGCATCTCCCAGCAAGCAGGGAGGAGCCAGGCCTCTGGCAAAGGCTTGGCTGTACTGTCCCACCTGTCCTGAGCCAAGGGAACTGACCACAGTTCCTCCTGTGATCTGACCATCAGGACAGTCAGAGCAATCCCAAAGCAAAGGCTTCTGCGGTTTGGGGGTGAGGGTAAATGGCATTAGTGTTGAGTGTCTCCAAAACCTGTTTGAGCTAAAGGGCTCTCTTCTCTTCCCAGTTGGGAGAGGACTAACTTCTGAGGTTCTAGCAGAATCACTGACAGGCCTTCCTGTGACCTGTCTTGTAAATTGTTCCCTTCACACATGCAAAGGAGCGCTGGATTTGGTGTTTCGGACTGTGGCCAAGACATGAGTGTAGCTCCTTCCCGAGTCCATCCTCCCAGCAAGACTGCAGGCCAGCTACACATCCCTGTCCACCCCTCCCCAACTGCTGCCCACCCTGAGCCTGTCAGCATCTCTTTTGTGCCCTGACTACATGACAGCTTTCTCTTGGAGCACCCTGCAGGGCAGAGCCATCCTCCAGCTGTGAGGCTAGGGCTAGGCCTGGATCACTGGCCTCCTTTGTATCTTTCAGCATCTTCCCCAGGTCAGCTGCTTTCTCCCTCCCTGTCCCTCTTCAGGACAGACTGAGGCCTGAAGGCGGTGGTCAGTACATTGGAGCAGAACCAGGGCTCAGTTGGCTGGGTGAGGGGGACAGGAAGAAGCTGACCAGTGCAGATGTGTCAGCTTCAGGAGGAGCCACAGGAGACAGGTGCTCTTCTGACCAGCTGGCCTGTGCAGCCAAACAGGGGCCTACAGTACAGAAATGTCCCCTCCCTGCCAGCTGGCCCAGGAAGTTTTCTCCAGGTCTCCATGGGCCTTACCTGTCCAACCGCACCAATTCCTGGGCTCCTAGGGACAGACAAGAGAATCTGGTCACAGGCAGGAAGTCTTCCCGAGACAACAGCCCTATCCCTGCAGGCAGAGGACCCTTGAGGACAAGGAGCGTGCCCAGACAGGACTCTGTCCGTTCCTGGACTCCACTGAGTTCCCTCCAGAGGCCTGTAGGGCATTGCTGAGTGTTTTTACCCAGCAGGTGGGCCCCAATAACAGGTCCACTTTGTTGATAAGTGAAACTCAGTCTGCATTTTCCAAGCATGCGGGACACTTGCCACCAGGAAACCAAAGACAGTAACACTTTCCCTTACAGCCTGGCTACGAAGCACCTTCAGGGCATAGTGTCAACCAAAGGCCTGGCTCCTGCATTTGCTAATTGTGGCTTCCTGTTGGGACATTGGCCCATTTTGGTCGTTAGCCATGACTTACTACTGGGTGGAGTGCTCAGTGCTAGTTCCCAATTACGGGGTCCTTTCTCCCCATCCTCCACATGACCTAGCAGGTGACCTCTCTCAGGGAACCTTAGGAGTCTGAGTACGCCCTTGCTCCCCAGGCATTCCACCCTCTCTGTGTGCCTCATTCTAGCTGCTGCTTTGTCGCCCTAGACTTGGGGTTCCATACCCCCAAAACCGGCCACCAACCAGATGCGGGCACCCCAACTTCCCTCTTTCTTGCAGCTCCCCACCCCCTCCTACAAATCCTTCTCCTATTAAAGACCAGAGCTTTGCTGCTGATGACATGGGGAAATGTGCTGGGGGAGGGGCGCCACCACAGAACAAACCCGGGGAAGTTACACAAAAGTTTCTGAAATCTACTAGCATCCTGGCTTCTGTTTACACAGCAGCTGTGTGGGGCTTCATGAATAGCTCTTCCTCTCTGCTGCCCTCTGGGGTAAGGATGATGGCCCACTTGAGAACTGGGGAAACTGAGTCACAATGTGCAACTGGATAGGAGTCCACATTCAGCAAATTGCCTTCTGCATTTCCCCCAGTGCCTTCATTTTCTTTGGTCCTAAGCGTGGCTCATTCCTGAACAGTCCTTCCATGCTGGAATCCTGGAGCTTCCTTCCCAGAGTACACCACGCACACTGCCCTGACCTGTGCCCACTCCAGCCAATCTCTGCCTGCGGCCTGGGACTTAGCTGCCTCTAGAATTCACATCACAAGCAATGACCCCAATCTTGATGCCCTCAGCATGTTGTACCTGGTTTCTCTAGCGTAGTCCCCTCTGCCATCTCCTGTCTCTATCCCTAAGTCTGAAATCAGATGATAATTTTTTTATTCTTTTATTTTCTTTTGGAGGCTAAGAGGGGACTGGCCTCAAAAGTATTTTTGTTAGAGACAAATTACTGTTCCCCTCTGTTACTGAGCATAACACATCTGGGGTTACATGCTGTAGAGTGGTTGCCTGCAAAAAACAGGGCTCATTTAGAGTCTCAGGGGGAGGTACTCAGCATGGGGCACAGTGTACCTGTAGGTGGCTCTTTGTCCCCACATGGCCCCTCTTCCCGTCCAGTTCACCAGGGTCATCCTGGGACAGATTAGAAACCTCCTAAGAAGCCTTGGAGCCAGCACTTAGATTGAAGATGTCATTGTATGTGGAAGGAGATGCCCCTGCCCCGTGTCCTCTGCTGTCCCTACAGCATTCTGGCCTGATGTTGTCCCCTCTGTTTTTTTTTGTTTTTTTTTTCTTGGCAATGCTGGGGTTTGATCTCAGGGCCTCGTGCTTGCTAGGCAGGTGCTCTACCACCTGTGCTCCAGCCCCAGCCCTTTTGCTTTGGTTATTTTTCAAGTAGAGTCACACCATTTATGCCCAGGCTGGCCTTGACCATGATCCTTCTATTTACACTTCCCACATAGCTGGGCTGGCAGAAGTGTACTGCCACACCCAGCTTTTTACTGGTTGAGATGGGGTCTCAAGAAGTCCCACCCACACACACTGCTTGCTGCCTCATACAGTGATCCTCCCTAACTCTGCCTCAGGAGTAGCTAGGATTACAGGCGTAAGCCACCACACCTGGCTCCCTCTCTGATTTTCTTCATCCAGCCATCCCTATCCCAATAGGCCCTACAAGCAGAACAGGTACCCTGCCAGGAAGACTGAGCCCAAAGGTGGGTGCACAGCCCCACACTGCATACACAGCATCCTCCACCCAGAATGTGTTTATTTTCCAGTTCCTGTTCCCTGTGCTGGCCACATGACAAGGCAGTGCTATGGTCTGGGCACAGTGGACAGACAGCCCCTCTGTATATGGGAGTTGAGCCAAGCTGGGCAGCTCCTTCCTCGTCTTGCTCACTACAGGAACGCTCCTCTGCCTAAGAGCTGCAGCTTATGGCAGATCTAAAGCCATTTCTCTCCTGTGCTGAGCCCCGTGGTTCCTCTTCTGTTATAATACCATTACCTGCCCCACCCCACCACCAGCCTCAGGGATTCCTGTGGGCAGGCTGTGGTGGATTAGAGAACAAGGCAGTCCCGAGAGTTAAGTTGGGTGGCCACAGCCCCAAGTGACCCACTGTGGTGCTCCAGGTTTGGCCTCCTGGAGAAGAGGCAGGAAGACACATCAGGTTGATAGGGGCAGAAGAAATCGATGTGACCCGGTGACGGCAGTCTTCCCTCGGTTACATTCTGCAGCTGGGCAGAGGGGAAGAGACTGAGGAGGGGCTGCAAGAGCAAGGGACACCTCCCTTCTGCCCTTGGAGGATACAGGCTGACCAAGGCTCATAGGTGGGGCCCAGAAAGAGGGGGTGTGACAGGTGTTTGTGGCCATAACTTAAAGCCTGGTTCCACCACTTATTTGCTGTGTGGTTTCTTAGGCAAGTCAGAAACCTCTCTGGGTCTCAGTTTGCTCATCTGCAAAATGGGGACAAACGTCGTATCAAGTTCCCAGGGTTGTTACGAGGATTGAGTGAGGAAAGTATGTAACAGGCCTGGCACTGTGCCTGGTACTGCAGCCCCATCAGTTAGGGGCTGTTGCTCTGATGCGCATATTGGTCGGCACTTCTGTTATGCGGTGGGAGTATTCTCCCTGGTTAGAGCAAGGGCAGAAGGCTGTGAGGTTGAGTCCGGCTCTTTGCTCACTAAGTTAGAAGCACTCTCTGACCCTAGGCTTCTCATACATTAAAGGGCCCAACTAAGTCATCTCTAAGATACCCCCTGCAATGCTTCAAAAGTCATTTTGTCCCAGCCCAGCAATTGCTACTAATTACAAAACAAACCCATCCATACGTTGAAACAGGTCCCCAAAGGATCTCTGAGTGGCAGCATTTTTATAAACTAATTTGAACTGTCCTTATCACTCCATGTGATTATTCTTTCATTCAATAGATACTTTTGTTGAGTGCCAAGCCAGCAGTGCCTGGGAACCAAAGCAGCTGGCATGCACTCAGGCCCCGGAAATAGTGAGCCTGGTTTCCCTCCTCTCTCAGCTGAGGAGCCAGCTCCTTGCAGGGGGTGTAGCAAGGGGTGGAGAGGAACAGTACATGCCTAGAGCCTTCGCTGACCCCAGGGGCTACACAGGACTAGGCAGGTCCCCTCCCCCAGTCCTACCCCACCCAGCGCAGGTACTCACGGCGGTGGGAGGCCACCTGCCTCTGCTTGTAGACCAGCAGCAGAATGAGCGGGAGGCAGAGGATTCCCACGATGCAGGCGCCTGTGGCCAGGGCTGCAGCCAGGATGTCTGTAAGGGCAAGAGGCAACCAATGGGAGGCCCCATTCCCGCTGTTCCTCCCAAGGGAAACTGAGGCCCGGGAAGGAGAAGCCAAGGAGAAGCCAAGAAGCAAGGCCCCACATGTAGACTCTCAGTGGCCTGCAGAGGCTTGGAAGGCCTGGAAACCTTTCAAAGACAGCAGGTGGACCCAGAGAAGCAACCCCTGTTGCTACAGCTGAGGCAGCTCTGGAGAAGAGAGAATAGACCCCTCATCCTGCCTACAAGGGATACCTGAACCACCCTGGGCTTCAGGTTGTCTACAAAAAGGGAAGCAGGCCCTTCACAGACCTCCATGCCACAGAGTTCAAGGTCAAAAGGAGCCCAAGTGATGAAAAAGTTTTAGAAATAGATAATGGCTATAGATAGGTAACATTAATAATGTCATTCAGTTATGTGCCACCAAATTGTACACTTAATAATGGTTAAAATGGCATGTTAGGTTTTACTACCACAAAAAGCTTAGTCTTCCTTTTGAGGGACTCCTTAGCTCTGGAGGAGAAGCCCTGCCTCTTGGGTTCACACACAAGTCATGGGGGGAAACCTTGGGACAAGAATTAGAAGCTGGCCTGGTGGTACACACCTGAAATCCCAGCTACTCAGGAGGCAGAGGCAAGAGGATGGAGAGTTCAAAGCAAGTCCTGCAAAGTTAGGGAGACCCTGTCTCAAAAACAAAACAAATGAAAGAACTGGAGTTATGACTCAAGTGGTAGAGCATTTGTCTAGCATGCTTGAGGCCCTCAGTTCAATCCCCAGTACTGCAGAGAAGCGGGGAGGGAGAGAAAGGGAGACAGAGAGAGAGAGAGAGTACTCCTTCCCCTCGACGTGGACTCCCTCCAAGGAGATCGTCACTGTCCACTGTGCCTAGTCTGTCCATCTGGCTCTAGTCTTATCCTAGGGGATCGTAGAACATCGTAGTTTCCACCAGCACAGTTCAGGCATCTCTCTGTACCAGCACAGAGACCCATCTCATTCTGCTTAAGGTTTCATCTGCACAACTCACCCCTAATTTATTGAAATATCTCCTGCTGATGGACACTTTGTTTGCTTCCATCTTCCATTATAACTTGTTTTGTAGCAAGGAATCCCTTCTGCTTGGTTCTCTGCTCACTTGGACAAGGCATCTGGATGTAAATTCCCAGTGCCAAAGTGCTGCGCCCAGGAGCACGGTCTGCGTTTTCTTTTAGGTTATTGCAAAATTGCCCTCCGAAAATGCTGTGCCACTTCACGATCCTGACAGCATGGGAGGTTTGATTTATTTTAGTTCATCTGCTGACGATGGGAGTTTAGCTGGGAACAGACGAGCCCTCGGAACCAAAACCAGAGTAAGCCCATTTCCTTCCCCATTTGAACCTTTCCCTCAGCCAAAAGATGGCTGGGATCCCTTGTCACCATGTCAACTTCACCCCAGAGAACTTTGGGGGAAGGACGGGCTGTGGTCTAAATGTTGACTTTGTACTTTATTTGGGAATAAAGGCCATTTTTATCTCATTGTATGGCTAAACAACCCAGTGGTGCAAACAAGCTTGTTGTTGGGGGTGGGGATTGTTCACACAGGAGAAGAGAAGGAACCATTTGCAGCACTTTCAAAGTACCCATCAGTAGAGGAACAGTCGCTGGGCTAATTACAAAGCAAGTTCTGCTGCACATTAAAGCAGGTTCCCTGCAGATTTTAGCAGGGCTGCATTTTAATGTGGAATATTGAAAGCAAAAGCATTCAGTAACTCAGATGGCTAAGTATTTCTCAACCCCATCAAAGGACCCCGCGCTGTGGGCCATATCTGAGTAGATGGTTGCAAAGTGTTCTTTCTGGTCATCAAAGCGGGCCTCCTCCCCACTGTTACTAAGCAACGAGTGTGCAGTATGCCAGGTGCTCACTAGTTCAGTCTGCCTGGGAGGCCAGACCTAGTCACTTTGCTCCAGGTGGAAGTTCCCCTTTTGTGGTCCCTCTAAGGGATCAGGATTTGATTTCACTTCTGGAACCTGAGGTTTCCTTACAAGCTGGGCTGGCAGTCGAGGCTGGGACAGGGGCCGAGCTTGGGGGACGGGTCTGTGAGCACAGTGCCCTCGGAGGCTGGGAGTATCTCTGCAGAGCCAGCCTGGCCACAGTTCCACATCCCTTGCCCAAGCATGCCCAAGGCCTGGGCTAACACCCACTGAGAGATTGGGGTCTTGATCCCTCTCCAGAGCTGGGCTCATCCTGGGAGAGAGATTGATCCTGGCAGAGGCAGTTGCCAACACCACACTAGGAAGTATGCCAGTCTCTTACACCGCAGCAGAATGGGCCTGCCAGGTACCCCATGGGTATGCACGGAGGAGGGAGCTCAGCTGCCCCAGGGAGGAGGCTGGAGGAAAACAGACAGCATGCTCTCTGCGTTAGGGTGGGGAAGGTAAACAGAGACTGCTACTCCCTTCCCTTCCCTTCCCTTCCCAGCGTCAGGGAAAATCCACAGCCCCTCAGCAACGCAATGTAGAGACTGCTCTACTTCGCTGGTCTTTCTCCCCTCTGTCACTCCCCCACCCACCCTCCAGCCAGAAGCCGACTTGGACTTTCACTTATGTCATTGACCAGCTACGGGAGCATGTTCATCCCAACAATAACATTTAGATACTTGTCCTGAAGTTAGAGAAGGAAAACAAAACCTGGCTGGAAGTACCAACCCATCAGGTGCCGCGACTACCATCAAGTTCTGTCTGAGAGAGACCAGAGGTTGGGATCTTTCCAAAGGTAGGCGACAGTAGAGAGCTGTGCCCAGTGGCTGGCCCTTGGGCCTGCTAAGCAGTGACGTGGGTCACCAGCAAATGGCTCTAGAAGCATTAGGAAACAGGACTGTGTCCACCATCTCCTACCATCTTCCTGCCACCCTGCCTCAGCACAGGGGATGGATGAGTTGAGTTGGGATGTTAGGCCTGAAGTAGGCGTCAAGAAGTAGCAACGGTGGGGGGGGGGGGTTGGAGGAGTGGCTTGAGTGGTAGAGCACCTGCCTAGCAAACAATAGGTCTTGAGTTCAAACCCACAAAAAAAAAAAAAGTAATAATAGCCCATACCCATGTAGCACCTGCTCTGTGCCAGCATGGTTCTCAACACTTCACATGGTGTACTTCTTTTTAGTCTCAACAACCCTGGGAAGTAAGTACATTTTACAGCTGAGTAAAACTAAGGCACAGAGAGGTCAAACACTTTGCTCAGTTTCAAGGTGTGAGCTCTTAACCCAATTGCCTTTCACCAGAATAGACAGGTCGCAATCATGGCCCACACAGTACTTAATTTTTTATTAGTTGGCGACATTTTTTTGTTCAGCCTCCTCATGATCTTGAACTCAAGATCCTCCTGCTTCAGCTTCCTCACTGCTGGGATTACAAGCATGCACCACCACACCTGGCTCAGTTGCCAACATTTTAAAACTGAGAGGATTCATGTAAAATCTGGCTTCTGCCTTTGCTCAAAATGACCCTGTCCGACCTCTGCTCTCTCTCCATTTTTTACCTGGTCTCTCTGGCATTGTTCCTCTGGCATCTTGTGCCTCTGTCCCCAAGACTGCAGGCATATGGCACATTTTCAGAAACTTATGTTAGGGCTTGGGGGCATGGCTCAAGCAATGGAGCATTTGCCTAGCGTGCACAAGGCCTGGGTTCCATCCTCAGAAAAGAAAGAAGGAGAGGAGAGGAGAGGAGAAGGGAAAGTCGTGTTGGTCAAAGGCAGGCTGCCCTCAGGCAGGGTGTGCACTCTGAGAGCCAAGTGCTCTGACACCTCCTGTCAGTGCTGGATCTGAGAGACCAAAGTCCCTTCACCAGCCTGAACCTCCATTTGCCCACATGTGACACAGTGACAATAGTGGAGCAGAGCCTGGCTGCTCTGGGAGAGTTCACAGAGGGAGAAGTGGGACTGGGGTGTTTGTTCAGAGTGGAGGAGCCATGGGGAAGTGAATGTTGCCTAGGCCCCACCGGATGGGCCACCCCGTCCTGTACACATATGTGTGCATGCCCACAGTCATGAGCTGCTGCGTGGGAAGAAAGGGGTCAATTAGGAAGTAAGGATAGTGGTGGAGGCTTGGTGCCAAGGTGACACTGGAGCTCTGTGGTGTCCGTAGAGGGGTAAATTCAGCTCAGATTGAAATGTGTGCTCTAATTTTGCTCCTGTTCCGTTTGTTCTTTTGAAAAAACTCAGTTAGTTTGAGTCAAAAGTTGCCATGGCCTTTGAGTTGGGGCTTAGCTGGGGGCTGTCGTTCATCTGTCCCCATTCTGGTTTAGGTCCCTGTGCATGTTCTTCTATAGACCAGGGACAGTATCCCTTCTGTCTCTCCAGGGCCTAGGCTGGGACCATTCCTCACTGGATACCTGGTAAATACTAGCCACTGCCCCCTCCTATCGGAAGAGTGAGGCAGCCCTAGGATGTGTACCCTTTGCTTGCTGTCTCCAGGCTGCTGGGCATTCTCACCCAACCTTTGTGTACTCAGTTGTCCCTGAAGACAGTGTCCCTGCCCTCAGGGTCGTGCTGGGTGAACACTGAAGCTTACAGCCACCCGCTGCTCTGTGCATCCAGTCTCCTTCCCCAAGCTGGATGGAAGGGGAAGTGAGCAGAGCTGAGCAGGCCTGCAGCCAAATCTTGCTGTGTTCCCTGGACTGTGCGAGTTTGGGCAAGATATGCCACCTCTCTGAGCCGGTTTCCAGGTCTTAAGAGTGAAGGTAGCTATGCCTACTTCACGGAGGGTCCCCGAAGCAAGCCAGCAGAGAATGGGCTTCTGGGCTGCAGACAAGGAGGAGGCGAAAGGGACAGGAGCAGCAGGGGAGGAAACGGGACCCTAGGGTGAGAGTTCAGAACAGAGTCTGGATCGAGGATGAAGACAGAGAGAACAGAGCACCCAGAAGGGACAAGGGGGTGGTCCTTACTGTCACTCTCCTGTGGGGAGGATGGATACATGATGCATTTGGGTGGTGAGTCTTTGCCTGTGGGAGCAAAGACAAGGCCATTAGGTGGGTGTCAGGCTCAGGGGCCAGGGAGGCTTGTCCAGGCTGTGCTCCCTCCCAACACAGGAGTGCACACTAGGGCCTGCGTGCACACACACACACACACACACACACACACCCTGGCATGTTCTCAGTTCTCACTCTGCCCGTGCTCATGCCATCCCCAGGGGCAAGTGGGTACCTGCCAGTGCCCGCACCTCTATCCAGTCCATCTGCCCTTGTGTTCTCAGCTGGACGTGGACACACACACACACACACACACACACACACACACACACACTTTCTCTCTCTCTCTCTCTCTCTCTCCTTATAGATATTTTAGCCATCCATCTACTCATGCCCAGAGCACGTATCAGTCACCCTGTGACCTACAACTTGATGGCCATGGTGTCCTCGTGAGCATTCACATTCCCAGTCTCTCACATGAAAAAGTCCCACTGTTGCAAACCGAGCCACAGACACACTCCCTCTTCGTTACACCAGCTAACCACATCCACACCCCCACACATGGCCACCTCTTCTCACACACATGCGTGCACACACACTTATGCTGCAGTGCCCTGTCACTCACCCAGCCTCAAACACAGCCCATCCGGGTGTCACACATTCTCACAACAGAGGCTCCCAGGCCATCCGTGCAGGATGCCTCACCTCGCTGCACCTGCAGCTCCATGGCCCCGTGGACCCGGTGCTCCGAGTGGTGATGTCTGACCTCCACCACCAGGCAGCAGTAAAGGCCACTGTCCCACAGGGTCAGGTTATGCATAGTGATGGAAAAGTTGCCATGGTGGTCAGCTGTGGACTCCACGCCGTGGCTCTGGGCCAGATCCTGGCTGGTGTTGGAGGACTGGTGGCTTCCATGGTGCAGGTGAAGGTTTTGGAAGGTGAGGTTGCGGATGGGCCGGCGCTCAGAGCACACTTCCAATTCACTCCGCAAACTGCGGAACCACGTCTTGTAGAAGGTCACGTCGTGTCCCTTGGACACGGGGCCCAGGAGCCTGCAGGTGAGGGTGACGTCCTGCCCCTCAGGACACACATACAGAGAATATGGTGTGGCAATCTTTAAGGCTGCCACCAGACCTGCTCAGAGAGAAGAAAGCCCCCATCACCTGTCTGAGTGATTACCACTCCCTGGTACCCCAGAGCAGGAGGGAACCTTGGCCTCAGCCACTCCCCAGCCACAGGCTCTAGGCAAGTCAGCTGACTTCCTGAGCCTTGGAGGACTGACTGACCCCAGCCCCCACTGCAAGCATGTAGCCCCATCCAGGACGGCTCCATGTTCAGTGCCATCAGGTAGGAGGCGGGATGCAGAGCAGAAAGGCCATTTGGAAGAGCAGCTCTTTGTCTTTGGCCATCTTGTCTTCTAGGGGCCATCAGCACCCTCCGCCCCTTCCCTCTCTGAGGATTGGATGTGACATTCTCTCTCCTTAGTGGAGCATCTGCAAGTATAGGGCCAGTGCCAACTTCTGCACCCCCACCTTGGGGGCTGACGACCTAGCTGGGCAGACAGGCCTACACTGGTGGCCCAGGAGCATCACAGCAAAGACATCAAGCTTCTGGGACTTGGGGAGGGATGGTCAGAGCCCTTCTCGAAGGAGGGCAGGTCTTTGAACATGATAGGTAAGATTTAGCAAGTAGATGGTGCTCTAGGCACCTCTCGGTGATGGGGAAGCAAGAAAAACCAAGGAGTCTAAGGGACCAGGACAGGAAAATCTTGGAAGGCCACCTCGTCCACACACATGCCTCCTTCCCAACTGTAGAACCACGTTCTAGTTCTTTTTTCAATGAACGGATGACACAATGTCCTAGTCCTCTTTGCCCTCCTCCAGTCCTCCCTATTTAACTGGGTTGACTCCCCCAAAGCACTGGCTTTTGAGAACAGAATACCCGGTGGTCCCTGCTCCTCTCTAGCTGTGCAAGCCTTGGTTTCCTCACCCGTGCAATGAGAAGGGTATTCGCTACAACACGGAGTGGGGAGAAGAATGAATGAGAGAAAGAGGAACATGCAGACGTGAGCCCTAAGGCCCTCTGCAGACCTGTGAGGGACAGCGACAGCTGTCATCCCTTACTGTCGTTTTCTTATCACTTGACATCTGGGGCTGTTGTAGGATGGGCAGACAGGAAGGAGCTTGGAAATATGTACAGAATCCAAACAGATATGTCCTGTTTATTGCCCCAGCCAAGGGACATTGCCTAGACCCCCTCTCCAGATATTTCTTCCCTATCCTTTGAGCCCAGGACTCTTAGGACAGGCTGGGATCCACCAGAGAGCTGAAAGCCTTGGTTTTTATTCCCATTTTACTGATGAGGAAATTGAGGTGCACGTTGACATTCAGTAACCCATTGACAAGTAAGCATTAGAGCCAAAATTAAACTCAGGCACTTGGATACCTTACTGGAGGAAAATTTCAGAAGCTGGGAGCCTGTAGGCCATGTCTGAGCTGTAGACCTTTTATTTGCCTCTCAAAGTGTTCTAAAGTGTGCTATCATTTAAAAACTAGGGATTTGATATAAAAATTCTAACTCCTAGCTTCTCTTTGAAGATCAGAAGAGAACATCAAACCAGCTCTCCCACAAGGTGGCTGGAGTTAAGTTGCAGCCTGTGCTCCTCATGGGGTACCAGTGCTCCCTATATGCCACAGTCCCCTATACTCCCTAATGCCTCTACCTGCTTCATGCTGTCACCATACTTGCCTACCACTATGGACATTTGATTTTGTGACACAGGAGTATGAGCCCTTGGACTAGGCAGGTGGGGACTCCACTATCCAAGACCATCTCATCTGTAAGATACATAAATGACCCTCAGGCTCAGAGAGGATCTATCTACCCAGAAACCCCAGTGGAAGCCTGGCAGAGTAAGAACTAGCCAACTCTCTTCCACCTGCTAACCCGTTATCCTTCCCCTGCATGGGGAAAGAAGAGCCCTAGACAGCCAGCTATGTCCCTGGCTTCGTCCACACCAGCCCAGACATTTTCTCACAAGCCTATGTGGACTGGATGTGACCACCAAACCATGGCCATACCAGAAACAGTTGGGGGATGAGGGTGTACCTAGAGAAAGGACTCCCCAGGTGCTCCCAGGAAGAACCAAACCCACCCAGGAGTGGACCCTGGCATTATCTTGCCCTGTGCTGTAGCTACCCCAGCAGCCATGGGACAGAACCTCTCCTAGCCACTGTCCTTTTCCCTTTGCCTAACATCATCTCCAGCCCCAGAGCCACCCCAGGGCTCAAAAACCAAATTCAGTCCAGCAGCACCTGCCGGGGCTGCCTTGGGGCCTGTCAGGTGGCCCAGCTCCAGGCCTGGGGCGGGTGAGGGGGGCAGTCACTTAGTGAACAGAGGCATGGATTGGGTAGGTGTCCAGGTGTGGCCTTGGTAGACAAGCTGTCCTTGTGCACAGGCAGGCAGACGGGCTGACAGTCCTCAGGGCACAAGCAGTGGTGTTTGAGACCCAGGACTGCACCCTGCAGGGGGAAGGGTTTCCAGCTGAGGACCTTGCCTTAAAAGCCCACAGCGGGTCGCAGAGAGAGCAGGGCTGAGGGACAGCAGGAGACAGGGCATTGTTCAGTGCCCACATTCCACCCCACCAGTCCCCAAAAGACCTCTTCCCCTTTTAGAAAAACAAAATCTGCCCTGGGGTCCAGGGTTTTGTTTTTTGGGGTTTTTTTGTTGTTGTTGTTTTTTCAGGGAGGTTGTACTCAGTGTTAAAGCAAAGGGCCAGATAGGAGTGGCCCAAGAGGACACAGAGTTTGTCCCGGGGGCAGACAGGAGGGCCAGAAACATCACTTTGTTGCGTCTGAGGCCCAGAGCAGCCTGTCTTTGGGAGGACACTCCAGGACATAGTACTGGGGCCATGGCACCAGCCACACAGAGGTGCCTGCACACCGTCCTGCACTGTCAGGCCACATGCAGCTGGAATTGTAATTACTTGGTGGGAGGATATTGCTTATTGTCGGCAGCAGATCCTCTCGGACACCTGGGTCATTGTCCGAGGCCGGCGACAGTGGGTGGAGAGGAAGGCTCCTGGCTCCAGAGTGGCCAAGAGCATATGGGACAGGAAAGTGCCCTGGGCCGGGGCCGAGCCTGGGCCAGGGGGGACTATTCAGCCACAGTGCTGCTTTTAGGGTCAGGCCCCACCTCCACCTGGCCCCACCTGCCGCTGAGTGAGGCCACTAGAGAAAGGATGCTGCAAACTAGGACAGTTCCAGACCTTAGAGTTACAGTTCTGACTGGGCAACAAGAACCCTGGGACCCAGCGCTCTGGCCGTGTGGCCTTGAGCAGGACCCACCCTTGTCCGGGCTTCCCTGTCTTCATTTCACTTGAGAGACTCCCCACGCCCCAAGGGCTCTTCAGCTCTGAAATCCTGGGGGCAGGAAGGGAGGGCTGTCTTGTGTCTATGTATTATGTGTTAGGCACTTGCTGAGTCCTTTATACTGCCTCATTTTAATTCCATTCCCCTAACACCCCTTGATGTGAGATTATCATCTCCATTTTAAAGAAGAAGAAACAGATTCAGAGAAGTCAAGTGACTTGCCCAAGGCCACACAGCCCTTTGTGGCTGAGCTGAGATTCACACCTTGGATACACCAGTGCTGCAGACAGGAAGACCACCCTGCCCCACACCCACACACACACACACACACACACACCCACCACACACACACACACACACACACACACACAGAGAGAGAGAGAGTGGGTGGATCTGATACCTCATCTTTCAGCTATTCAGAGAAGGAACTGACCCCAAATTGACCCTTACCCTCTGTACCACTGTCCTTATACTGCCTCCAACCCAAGATCAAAACATTCCTTCATTCCACAAATATTTAGTAAGGTTCTAACATAAGCCAGGCCCAAGGCAGTTCCTCAAGGGAACTCTGTGCTGTTTCTGCCCTTTCTGGCTTTGGCGCCCTGGGCTACAAGAGGGGTTCAGCCTCTGGGTAAAATTTCCGGCCAGGTACAGGGTTAAGGTTTTCTGGTTTAGCATCCTCTCAGGGGATGAGTTTTCGTGACTGTCACTTCTTTCCACCCAGCAGGCCCCTGGTGAGCCCCTGTGGGCGTGTACAAGATGACTATGTGTGGGTGTGGACAGCTTTAGTATTTTCCCTAACAGGCGTGAGCTTTGCCCACAGTCACCAAGGCAACGTCCGGGTCTTTGGAGGTGGGTCCCCAGCGTGATTAGTCAGGCCCGGAGGCCCCACCCAGACAGCTGAACTCTGTCCAGCTAAGTAAACAGCAACAGCAGGCTCCACGCAAGATGAAAAAGACCAAGTCCCTGGCCTCAATGACATGGGAACTGGTTCCAGCTCCCTACCAGGTCCTGTCCCCCCAGGGTGGTCCTCGGGGGCTGAAGGAAAAGGCTGATTGCAGAGCACAGAGGGAAACAGAGGCAGGACCTAGTCCAAAGCAAAAGGAAGTGCCCTGGAGTGAAGACTGAGGGCTGAAGCCAGCAAGTCTGCCCATGGGGCTCTCTGGCCAGCGAGGACAAAGGGCATCAGATGTGTTTATTGATACCTGCCCCAGCAGGAAGTGTCCATTCACAGGGAAGAGAAGCCGGGAAGGGGAAGCTGAGCTCTATGGGAGGAAGCCACACTTCCAGCACCTTGGGAAAGTGGCCCTGTGTCCGGGGCTGGAGGCTCCAGCCAGTATGCCTCCTAGGGAGGGCCTGGGAAGCAGTCCAGGCCTGCCCAGGGGAGGCTTCTCTGGATGACTCCAGCCCAGACCCACAGGACTTTGGGCAGCCGGATGACCAGCCCCAGCCAGCAACTGCCATGGAGACTTCCTAAGTCTCCTGCCCTTCAAGTTCCAGTCTCCCTTCCCCCACTGTCGATCAGGACAGGGGCCCCTGTGGTCATGGTGGTAGCTACTTTGTGCTGGACATCATTTTAAGCACTTGTATGTGGACTGGCGGATCAGTTCCTCACTCCATGCGGCAGGCGCTAGGATCCTGTCTTATTTCACAGATGAGGAAGCCAAAACAGAAAGAGAGTTTAAAGAGTCTCACAGAGTAAGCGGCGAGCAAAAACTTGAACCCAGGCTTCTGGGGGGATCTGCCACCCTCTGACTACTCTCTAGAGACTAGAGGTAGGCAGGGACTGGCTGGAGGTCCCACCTCCTTCCCACTGATGGGCAGCTGTCCTGGCCAATGAGAGCCTAGCTTGTCTGGCTGCTTTGATAATGTAGGTAGTTTTACTTTTGGTTTTACAACATTAAATAACATTGAATCATATAGAGAGAAGGTTATTCCCTTTTCAATTTCCTCTCAGTCCTGATTACATCAAAAAGAAACTCCTAGACATAGGTGGCCATTGTACCTTCAAAATTTTTTCTTGGCCACATACAAATCTCCTTTCTTTTTTCTTTATTTCAGCAGCAGGTTTCAGACTCAGAGCCTTCCCCAGGGCTAAAGTTTCCAACTAGAATTTAATGCCCTTATTTGGTTTTCCTCCAATGTACTTTTATGATTTTGTTCTATTTTGAGCAGGCTTTCCACTTATGACAGTGATATAAAGTTTCCTTTTCAAAACTACGTACTCAAACAAAACAATGAGTAGATTTAAAGAAAAATAAGGCAACTACTGACCAAAGGTGATGAGCGAATGAGCCCAGGGAACCTCATCTTGTGACCAGCCTTCAGAAGAGCAGTCTGCCTCACAGAGATCACGTCACCCAGCCTGCACACTGCACAGATGGGGGAAGTATGTAATTGGGGCCCCACAATGAGTGAGCCCCAGAGATGGGACTGGACCCTGGGTCCCCTCAGGAGATGAAACCCTGTGTAGAAAAGCTAAAGGAACTGGGCTTGGCCAACAGCAAAGCAGCTTCATTACTGAATGACCCCCGTGGGCAAGATGTCTCTCTTTGGGGATGGTCAGCTGAAGTAAACAGACTGAGTGTAGAGATCAGGTGCAAGAATGACTCCCCGGAGAGAGGGAGACTCTGGGCCCTTAGCATGTGGTCCACAGAAGCCAGGAACACTCTTGAAAAGGCTCTGCATAGCTGTCTTTGAGGAAGGGACAATCACACCCCCATTTTAGAGATGGAGGGGCTTGCTCAGAATTTGTCCATGTCACAGAGCAGTAGTTGACTAACTTGGGATTCGAACTAGGTCTGACTGACTCCCAAAACCAACCTTTGGGAAAGTTGCGTGCAGGGCATGTCCCCAGGCACACCATCAGGAAAGTCATGGCTGAGCCATACCAGCTAAGGAGATCTGTGGGCATCAGAAGTCAGTGCTGACCCCTGGTGAGGCTAGACTGGTTCTGGGGCAATAGTTGCCCTAGAAAGTGGGGCGTCAAGCTCAGTGTGTGAGGCTGTCACTGACACCAGGCCAGATGAGCCCTGACAACCCTCCTTCCTTTCTCCTGCTCAGGCCTAAGATCTCATACCCTGTAGCTTCCCAGCTAAGTACCTCCTACCTGGGCCACCCTCTCCCAAGGAGGTCAGGCCCCAGCAGGGAACCTCTGCCCTGCTCAGGACAAACAGAAGCAACCAGCCCAGCATGGTGAGGGGCTCCTTGGTATTTCTGGCCCCTGACCCAGCATAGGGTGGATGGCCCCTCAACGCCCTTGGACTGGCGTCAGTATACATTGGTGGTATGGTGCTGAGCGAAGCTGCCTTCCATCACATCCACAGCCTGGTCCCAGGCAATTTCTCTCCCTTCTAGCCTCGGGGCAGTGCTCATGGATTTCCTAAGAGCTGACCGCTGCTGGGTCAGCTTGGAGCCCTGGGTTACTCAACAAGGCCCTGTAGCTTCATTTACCATGAAGGGGAAGATGGGGTGACCCCTCCCTTGACCCAGTGCACCCACCCACCCCTGAGCTTGAATGTGGCCTGAGTTTGGGACTCCTGAGTCAGCCTGGAAGGACAGGCAAGGACAATAACTTTCACAAGTCCTAGCCATGCTTCTGGGGAGAAGGAGGATCCGCACCCTTGGGTCTGCTGGGCCCTGGCTCCTGAAGCACCCCTCCCCCATCCCAACCTATGTCAGGCCCAGGAAAGGGGTGTCTTCTGAGTTTCCTAGGGTCCTGATTGACTACTGTCATTCTCCTTGGAACAACCCCAGCCCCTCCCTCTTACTTTCTTAGGCACAAAGGCTTTGACCTTGAGCAATTCAGCAGCCTGGTGAGTTTCTCAACTCCCAGATACCCACTCCCAGATAGCCACTGCACACTAAACCAGGTAGGAGGAGGAACATCCATTAGGAATGTGCCTGGGCTTCAGTTAACACTGAGGCCAGAGCAGCTCCAGGCTAAGAGATTTCTCCCAGCAACTTTCATGAAAGCCACATGAGCTTTCTCCCTAAGCTGGGCCAGTGGGAGGTGACCCACACACCAAGTAGTGTCAGTAGCCAAGCACTCTGGGAGTAGAGGCTCCTGGCTATGAAGGTAAAATAAGGTGAAGGTTCTGAGCTCCCTCGGGGCCTCTCTTGCTGGATGATCCACAGGCTAGATCCCTATGCATGCGTCTCTAGGACTCAGTTTCCCAAATTGGGGCCACTGAACAGAGACCACTCCAGCCAAGTGAGAACAGGGGAGGGACAAGAAAAGAGAAAGAGCCTCATGGGGTAACTTGGGGTGGGGGTATTCAAGTGGCCCCAAGTGGGTGGGGCACTGTGGCCTTCCTGCCTGCCACTGTCCCTGGCTCCTGGAAGCCGTGTTCAGCCATGAGCCATGGCCTTGGTGCTGGGACTACCCCACATCCCACTCTGGCCTCCCTTAGGCTGTTCTGTCTGTGGGCTGTGGACCCCTCCTCCTTATCAGAGGCCCAGGCCAGCCTCCCAGCGCTGAGATAACACGCTGCTCACAGCCTCCCCGGTTTGTTCTAGGGTGTCTTCCAGGTTCACAATCTCCTTCCCCCACCACCCTCCGCCCTTATCCCGTCTTCTCCCTTCCTTCTTCAAACCTGCCATTGGGTCCCTCTGGAAAGCCCTCCACCTGGGTTCTGACTCCCTTCATGACTGACACTTTCCCTGGTCCTCCCCATCAAGTTTGGATCCGCAGGCTGCCTACTGGACAGTTGCTACCTGTGTCCTGGGCTCTCTGAGCCAAGGAAGGGTCGGACAGGCAGTCCCCAAAGAACAGCGTTGCTTGCTGCTTGGACAGCTGTCAGAGCGCAGATGTGCCCGATGCCGCTGGGGCAGAGGCGCTGCTGCACCCTGCCAGGTGGTCCCAGCAGCCTCCCAGCGATGGAATAGAGGTCACAGCAGGTTGAGAGCACTCCCGGGTCACTCCTATTTCGCCTGTGTCCCGCGCCCCAACCCGCTGTGCTCTCCCAGTGCTCTTCGCCCAGCTGCCTGCGGACCTTACCTCTGGACGCAGCCAGAAAAAAGGCGAGGATCAGGGGCCCCCAGCACCGGCCACCGACCTCTGGGATGGAGGGGACGCCCATGTCGCCGTCGGGCGGAGCGGCGTCTGGCACGGCGGGGCCGAGCAGACGCGGGGTGCAGGAGAACTCCGGGAGCCGGAGCGCAGGGAGCCGGCTGGACGCGGCCGCCTGGAGCGAGTGCGGAGCGAGCGAGCGCGGCGGGCGGGCGGCGAGGCGCTCCTGGGCTCCACAGCGCCCCCTGGGGGCGGCGGGCGGCACTGCGTCTCCAGGGCCCTGCGGGCGGGGCTCCGTGCAGATAGGAGGGCCGGCCAAGGTCAGCTCGCCTGGAGGGCCAGTTGCACAATCTAAGAAGTCACTCTACGTGTAAGCTAGCATGACACTCACTCCTGGCGATCTTCACCCTCCTGCCTTTGAGTGGTCTGGGGAGCAGGAATTTGTACCCTACGTCCTGCAGCCTACAGCGGGCTCAGCTCCAGCCAGGGAGTAAACAAATGAGTGAATCAATTAACGAAATCTGACATTGGTAATGAGCTAAGCAAGTGGGAGTGGGTTTGACTGTAGCTTCAGTGCCTGAGACACCCTGGTGCACCGGTGTGTGCAGTCAAAAACACAGATGTGAACACGTGTGGGAGCACACAGCAAGCTTGGCACATCCCCACACCAGAACACACACTCAGCTCTGCCCACCTCTGGTACCTGGTCCACAGACTCACTTTTTCCTTTCTTTTCTCCTCCTCCCCCTCCCCCTTCCCGCCTTGTCTTCCTCCTCCTCCTTTTGTGTGTGTGGTGGGGAGGGGGGGCGTGATACTGGTATGGAACCCAAGGCCTTCCTCTCCTCTTCCCTCATCCAGACTCTTGTCATCCCTCAGGGTTCAGCCCTCACAGTGTGCCTGGCCCCTCCAGTCCTTTCTGCCACGCCCCCTTTGACTACTACACCAGGCCCGAGGTACCAAGCAATTGGTCCTTCACCTGGACTCTTCTGCCCTCCCAAGCTTGCTTGTGAGTTTTGGGGGACCACAGAACCCTCCCCTAATGATTCTGAGTTCCTGGCCCAGGCTGGGTGTAGGGAGGCTGTCCACTGCACTCTTGCATGAGTGACAAGCCAATGAGGGAGTTAGCACAGGATTGCTGAGTGGGCAGCAGAGGTCACAGGAGAGGGATGGCCTGGAGTACTTCAGCCCAGCTGAAGCTGACAGAGTTGTTTCCTGCCCCTTTGGGATCTTGATCTCAAGGTGACCCCCAGCTGAAGAACAAGCAGTGTCAGAAATCAGGACAGTAAGACAGATCAGGAATTGTGGGTGTCCCGTGGCTGGCCTGATTTAAGTCAAAAAGTAGGGACTCTCGGTGTGGCTCCTAGTGCAAGGAAGCCTACATCAGAGGAAGGGCAGGACATCATGCTATTGCTAGGTGACCTTATATAGGCCCAGTGTCTCTGAAGCTCCCTGGAATGGGAGCCCTAGAGGATGTGGGACGTAACCCAGGTCCTCGGGCATGGCTCTGGCCTTGGACTCCACCTGGGGAGATAGTCCTAGGCCCTTCCTGGTGGTAGAGCATGTCTTCTCTTCTACCCAGGGAAGTGTCTAAACCAACGAAGATACAGTGGCTACTAGGCCCTTTTCCCACCCCAGCCATCCTCAGTAAGGTGGGCTAACTCCAGAGTGAGACCCTAGGGCACCTCCCCTTCCCTTCTTCTTCCTTCCCCTGCCACACTGCCCAGCACTGAGTCACCTGGGGTTACATCAGGCATTGCCCAAGCTGTGGGCCTGGACCTGCAACCTCAAGCCTTCTTTCCCCAATGCTAGGGCAGACCGGAAAAGACCAAGGCAGGAAGAGGGCCATCGGGGCCCTACTTCCTCTTTAGCCAGAAGCCAGAGAGGGTCAGACCATCATCCCCACTAACACCCAGACCTGGTCTCAGGGCAGGAGGGCTGCAAGGAGCAGCTCTGTTATAACCCTCACTCCCAGTCCCAGCTGTCTGCATGAAGGTCAGACTCACTTTCAGGGAATCTTGAGGTGCATCTGGGATAATGGGCCACCAGGAGCCTGCAATCCAGCTCCTTTCCTCCAGGTAGTGCTCCTACAGGTGGCGAAGGGGAACCCCAGGCCTCAAGCTGGACTCCTCATAGGTGGTGAGTGCTCACAACTGCAACCAGAACTGTGCAGAGCACAAGAGGAAAACGATGGCCTTCTTTGACAGTCATCTCTGACACAAATCCATTATGGGGATGGGTGTAAAGTTCACACGAGCTGACAGAACACCAAAGGAGCTATTTCATTCTTGAGACAAAAGTTCAGGCAGATCCCCAGACTCGGCAACAGTTTCCTCTCTACTCTAGTGGGGAAATTTGAGAACTATTAAAATAATGCATTTTCCTTCTTGGCATGCTTGCTATTTTAATGAAGATCCCTAGAGACTCTAAGACCCAAATGGTGGGTTTCAGCCCATGTGACTGCTGACAGAGGATCTGAAACCCAGACTATCTGAACTAGCAGGAACTCATGAGGACAGGCAGGTCCTTTTTTAACAGACAGAAAAGATCCAGAGAGGGGATGCAATGTGCCCGTGTCAAGGTTGCCAATCCAGCCTGCTTTGGAAATAGCAACCCAGTGCCCTGGTCCCAAAGATTCAGAGCTACAGATCCTAAGAATCATGACCTCAGGAGCAGTGACAGCCTTCAAGTCCAAATCCCCTGCCCAGCTCTCCACCCCTCCCCAGATGGCTTCAGAGACAGAGAGGACCAAGGAAAAAGTTGTGTGTGTTGTCTAGATTCTGATTTTTAAATTATTATTTAGGACTCATTATTACTATAATTCCATATATGCATACAGTATATTTGGAGCAAGTTCACCCAGTCTATTATATTCCCTTACCGCCTCCCTCTTCTCTCCCTTTTGAAAAGAATATTTGGTGGGTTTCTTTATGCTATCTCCATATTTATATGGAACATACTTCAATTCTCTTCACTCCCCAGGTACCCTCTCCAATTCTCTTCCTCCTCCCATTAACCCCCCTCCCCCTAACAGTGTCACTTTTGCACTCCAAATCCCATTGTTATTTTCGTAATTTTAGACATAGTCTGCATAAGAGCAAAAATGGTATTTGACTTTTTGAGCTTGCTTTATTTCACTCAGTATGTTGATCTCCAGTTCCATCTATTTTTCTGCAAATAGAATAATTTCATTCTTCTTTATGACTGAGTAATACTCTACTGTGTATAGGTACCATATTTTCTTTATCCATTCATCAGTTGTTGGGCACCTAAGCTGATTCCACCACTTGGCTATTGTGAATAATTCTGTCATAAACCTGGGTGTGCGAGGCCAGGCACTGGTGGCTCACACCTGTCATCCTAGCTACTTGGATTACCATATCTAAGATTGGGAAGATCTTGGTTCGAGGCTAGTCCAGGCAAATAGTTCATGAGACCTCATCTCCAAAATAACCAGAGTAAAATGGACTGGAGATGTGTCTCAAGCAGTAGAGCACCTGCTTTGCAAGGGTGAAGACCTGCGTTCAAACCTCAGTCCCACCAAAAAAAAAAAAATGGGTGTGCAGTTATCCCTCTTATATAATGACTTACATTCCTTCAGCTATCTGCCCAAGAGTGGTACAGCAGGGTCATAAGGTAGGCCTACTTTTAGCTTTTCAATGAGCCTCCATACTGATTTCCATAGTGGTGGGACCAATTTATAGTCCCACCAACAGTAAAAGAGTATTCCTTTTTCCCCCGATCCTGTCTGTTTTCTTGATAATAGCCATTCTGAGTGGGATGAGATGGTGGAGTTCTCTTTTTGTACTAACTACTTTGCATCTCCGTCCTTGGCAATGGCCTGCTCACATTCTCTCACCTTCATCTCTGCAGTTGTTATAACCTATTTCAGATGGCTTACTAATGGCGATGTATTAGTCACTTTTGCATAACTGTGCCCAAAATACCTGAGAACAACGGAACAGAAGAAAGATTTATTTTGGCTCACGGCTTCAGAGGGTTTAGTCCAAAGTCACTTGGCCCATCCCCCTTAGCAGAACTTGTGTGGGAACTTGTGGAAGAGGGGCTCCTTACCTCATGGAAAACAGGAGGGGACCGAGGACCAGGTAGAACCTTCCAAGACACACCCCAGTGACTACTTCCTCCAGCTACCCTCTCCCAAATCCAGATGGCAAGGGAGCCCTTGCAGGACAGTCCATGAGGAACATCTTCCAAGATGGAAGACAAGTGAGAGCAGAGGTGGGGTGCGACAAGGGGTAAAGAACACCAGCTCGCGCCAGTTTCTTTTTTCCATTTTCAACTCTGTTTGTGTGGAGTCACATCAGCCTTCTCTAGTTGGTTCTTAAGTGCTGATTGCTGGGTTCTGATTGGCTGAGTATTACTGTGGTTTTATTGGCTCAAGCATCAGCTAAATGGCCAAGCACAGGACTGCAGAACCTTTTTACAGTGAGGTTCATATTCTGAGTTTTATTTTTCACAGCTCAACAAATTCTGCTTGTGAAATTGCCCCAAACCCAACATCCTCCCTTTTTAAAATGCTGAAAATATGGATTTCTTCCATTTACATAAATAAGTGAAGTTTAAATACTGTGTCAGGCTGAGTGCCTCACATTCTTGTCTCCTGTAGTCTGGCAGTTAGGCCCTGACCCAAGCAAAGCTCTGGCTCGGAATGACCACTGGGGTTCATCTCATCGACTAGGGTGTTTGTTTTGTTTTATTTGGCAGAACTGGGGTTTGAACGCAGGACTTCGCACTTGCTAGGCAGGCTCTCTACCACTTGAGCCACACCCCCAACCCTCATGTGCCAGATGAAATCACTGTGCAGACAAGGATCCCAAGCTTGCCTCTGGCCTAAGCAGTGCCGTGGTTGAGTAGCGATGCCTGCCTTGGGCATAGACATAGCACTGGTTGTGCAAGCAGTTACCTAGCTTGATGATGAAGCCCACACTTTCTTCCTCTCCCAGCCTATGACTTCCCTCACTCCCGTGGTTTCTCCTCCCTTCCCCTCCCTGTGTGGATCACAGTGAGTGAGTTCAGGACAGTCAAGATTCCCCTCTATCCCTTTAGTCTCCTGACCAGGCTCTTTTCTACAGGCCACCACCCATGTGTATGTGACCATTGTGGATGAGAATGACAATGCTCCTGTGTTCCAGCAGCCCCACTATGAGGTGGTGCTGGATGAGGGGCCGGACACAGTCA